TGGGTGTGCTGGCTCATGCCTGTAATCCTAGCACTCTGGGAGGCCAAGGCAGGTGGATTGCCTGAGCTAAGAAGTTAGAGACCAGCCTGAGCAAGAGCAATATCCTGTCTCTAAAAATGTAGCTGGGCATTGTGGCGGTTGCCTATAGTCCCAGCTACCTGGGAGGCTGAGGCAAGAGGCTCTCTTGAGCCCAAGAGTTTGAGGTTACTGTAAGCTATGGCACCAGAGCACTCAAGAGCAGGGTGACTGAGTAAGACTCTGTCTCAAATAAATAAATAAATAAATAAAGTGGTGAGGGAAGGACCCCTAAGGATATCTGAGGAAAAATATTCCAGGCAAAAATCATAAATATAGAAATCCTCAATTGAAAACAGCCTCATTCAAAGGACAGTGAGACGACCACTGCAGCTGGCGCCGAGTGAGCAGGACAGAAAGTGATGAGGTCCTTAAGTCTTAAAGTAAGTAAGGGTGAGTGAGATGGTGCAGGTCCTTTTTCTTTTTATTTCTTTCTTTTTCTTTTCTTTTCTTTTCTTTTCTTTCTTTCTTTCTTTTTTTTGAGACAGAGTCTCACTATATCGCCCTCCATAAAGTGCTATGGCATCACAGCGCACAGCAAACTCAAACTCTTGGGTTTAAGCAATTCTCTTGCCTCAGCCTCCCAAGTAGCTGGGACTACAGGCGCCTGCCACAACGCCCAGCTATTTTTTTGTTGCAGTTGTCATTGCTGTTTAGCTGACCCAGGCCAGGTTTGAACCCACCAGTGCATGTGGTGGGTTGCACCCAGTCGGTGCATGTGGCTGGCGCCATAACCACTGTGCTACAGGTACCAAGCTGGCGGTGCAGATCTTGTATGTCCTTGTAGGTGCTATAAGAACTTTGGCTTTTACTCTAGGATGAGCATCTTTAAAAATGTAGGTGGTTTCCAGTTTTTTGCTATAAAAAATCATGCTTTGAGATTTTTCTACATAAATCTCTGTTCACATTTCTAAACACTTTCCTAGAAAAAATTCCTAGAAGTTAAATTTCTTGGCCACAGTCTAGGAATAATTTGAGGCTTTTGTTGCATATTGCCAAGGACTTTCCAGAAAGCCCATATCCACTTACAATATAATTTGGATCAACAAATATTTATTGCACGTCTACTATGTGCCAGACACAGTCTAAGGCAATGTTTTTCAACCATTTTTATTTCACAACACACTCGAACCTATAGTTAAAGTTTGTCTGTGGCACACTTAAATTATTTTCATCAAAGAAGAAAGAGTAAAAAAAAGAATATACTTACTATGCTTTGAACTTCTTTCAAAAATAATTTAATTAATGGTCTTTAAAGTTTTTGTGGCACACCTAAGATCCGCTCAGGGCACACCAGTGTGCTGCCGATGAAAATCAGATGAAACTCACTGGCATAAATTTCGGGAATTGATTTGAAACCAAAGAGCACATATAAGGAAACTCTCACGTTCTGAGAAAGGCTTTTTTTTTTTTTTTTTGCAGTTTTTGGCCCGGGGCCAGGTTTGAATCCGCCACCTCTGGTATCTGGGGCCGTCACCCTACTCCTTGAACCACAGGCACTACCCCTGAGAAAGGCTTTTTAATCAAGTACAGTCTTATTTCCAGATAACTAGAAAAATGCCACCCAGGATGAAGCCTTTCCAGCCAGAAGTCATTTCTGACATGATCCAAAATTATGGGATGTTTTTCCTCAACAATATCAATATCTCAGCGTTCCATAATAGCCCACCTTATTTCACATTCAACCTAGTTTGAGAGCACTTATGTTTCCAAACTGTATGACTTCTTTAGGTTTTACATTGCACAACTTTTCTACCCTCTGTGGGAAGCAGGATTTCTTTAATCCATTACCCCTACAAAGGGATGCAGAGGTAAAGCAGAATAGACACTGGAGTGTGATGAATGAGAATTTTAAATCTCCCTTAGCCCTTCATAAAAAACTTTTCACACATTTAGTAGTGGTTACCTTTGAGGCTTTAATTATCTTCTGTATCTTTCTTTAGTTTGAATTTTCTAACCTGAAACACATATAACTTAAAAAAAAAATCCAGCAGGGGTTATCCGGGTGAGGAGCTAATAGCTAGTTTTTATTTATTACTTTATATCTTCGTTTATTTGAAAAAAAAAAAAACTGGTAAATATTTTATCATTTAGAATCATCTCTAGTTTTGCAAAAGAAAATCTGTGGCTTGGCGCCTGTGGCTCAAGTGGCTAAGGCGCCAGCCACATACACCTAAGGTGGCAGGTTCGAATCCAGCCCAGGCTCGCCAAACAACAATGATAGCTGCAACCAAAAAATAGCCGGGCATTGTGGCGGGCACCTGTGGTCCCAGCTACTTGAGAGGCTGAGACAGGAGACTCGCTTGAGCCCAGGAGTTGGAGGTTGCTGTGAGCTGTGATGTCACAGCACTCTACCCAGGGGGACAGCTTGAGGCTCTGTCTAAAAAAAAAAAATCTGGGTGTGTATTGCATGTAACTGCAAGAATATAAAGCAACCTGCTAATGTATAGGCCTGATTTAAAGATTATTTGGGGAACTGGGAGAGGGAGAAATTTATTTCCCCTTTTACTTTATACACTTACATATTTTTTTAAGTTTGTTATAGTGAACATGTATTATCATTCTACATGTTTTCAGAAAAGAATAAACCATTTCTCCCCAAGGCAAAAGTGAAATGTGCTCATTGTAGAAAATGTAGAAAAGTGTCAAGAAGAAACTCTCAATCACATTTCAGCTTATTTCTTTTCAGGTTTCCTTTCACGTATTTTGTTGTTGTTGATATAATTGAATGTATACTATATGTAGTTCTGTAGCCTGTTTTTCACTCTTAAGATTAAAGCACAAACATTTTCCCATGTCATGACGATATCTGGATGGCCATTTCATGGTTTTATCACAATTCACGTAGATTAGCCATTTTAGTTGAAGTTGGACATTTAGGTTGTTTCTAGTTTTTCCATATTAAATATCAATCTCTGATGAGCAGCTTAGTAATGAAATCTTGGTCTGCATTTCTGAGTGTTTCCCTGGGATAGATTCCTACAAGCAGAATTACTGGGTCAAAGTGTAGATTTCTACAAGTGAGATTAGTGAATAGAAAATATTTTTATGGATAACAAAAAGGTTTATACCAATTTCTACTCCCCCCAGTAGGGTATAAAAGCTTCACTGCTCTCTTGCTAACAGTGTGTGATCCTTTTTCCCTTTTATCTTTGCCATAGGAAAGCAGTAGGTGACAGTGATAGCTCCATATTTTTCCTTTTTATTACTAGCAAGACTGAATATTTTTCATATGGTTATTCGCCATTGATATAACTTTTTGTGTTTCTTCCGTTCTTAGTCTATCCATTTATTGATAAGAATTTATGGATTTTCTTATCAGTTCAAATGAGCTTGTAAAGGATATTAATTCTTTGTGGTATTAGTTGCAAATGAAAATATTTTTCACAAGTTTGTTGGCTTTTAAACGTGCGTTGGCCATACTTGGTTTTTTAAAAAAGGATGATTAGATTCTAACTACAGCTGAGTGCCCTCAGTTTGAGGCTGTTTCCCCATGATTAAATTGAAAAGGTTTGACAAAAGAACTGGAGGGGCCTCAGTCAATCCTAAATTTAGCTGAGAGAAAAATGTGTCGTCCGATATAAAGACTGTTTGGCTCCTTGCACTTTAAAATGATTTAAGAATATGGGGTGGGGGCAAGGATGGAAGCAGTTTTTGCCAAAAATTTTTAGAATTCTGAGGTAAGGAGCCAATTCTGCCCTCAAGTCTTCTTGTGTGTTGGGGAGGAGTCGTAAATTATGTGCAAGCCAACAGAAATCTTGATGGAAAAGTACTGCTCTGGGCTGCAGATGTGTGCACGGCTTGGTTTTAATTATATTTTCCCCTCTCTCTATCCTTTCTGCTGCTCCCTTCCTCCTGCCACAAGAAAAAGGGGGGCTAGGATAGGATGAGACAACCCTTAACTAGGTGGAGGCCTTTCCTGTGCAGCCTGTTAGCATATCAAAGACCCGATGAAATACCTAGGAAAGGAAGGGACCTTTCTTTGGAAGCCTAGGCTCCTTCCAAACTACCGCCTTTGTCTGGGCTCCAGTTCAGGGTTATTGTGACTGCCAAGGGGTAGCTCGACAGACTTCACATAGAATGCTGCCAAAAAAAAAAAAAAAAAACCTTTCAACATTATTCTGATTTTAAAAATGTGCAACAAGAGAACGTAGCTTGCTGATGCCTAGTGACTGAGCAAATCAGTGATCGCAAAAGGGTTTATTTCGGGAAAACAAACCCCAAGTAAATTGGGCGACCGGATTCGTTTCCCCAGATAATAGGAAGAGTTGTGCACTGACTTCAGCTATCCCGTGGGTGCTCGCCCCATAGCATCTGGGGGAGAATCCAAGAAGGGCCGTCAAAGAGAACAAGGCGGGGGGGTCCCGAAGTGAAAATGAGTAGTCCGGAGCTCTAAGATGGAAAATTGAGTTCGAGGAATGAGTTTCTTGTCTCCTAAAACAACTTTGCGGCTTCGCGGTCCCGGAGGGTGGCGGAGAAAAATGAGGAGCTTCCTGATGGGAGACGGGGGAAGGGGAAGCCTGAAGCCAGAGAAAAGGAGCCCGCGTTTGGCGCGCATCAGGTGGCGGAGAGGGCCTCGCACACTGTGGGGCCAAGCCGAGGTTCGCCCCAGCGGGTAGGTCTGCTAAGGGCAGGGGGCGGGGCAGGTGCTGAGGAGGGCTGCACGCGGCGTCGCGGGCAGTTAGGGGATGGCGCAAGGGTGGCGTGAGACTGGGCCTAGCAGGTGGAGGTGAGGGGTGGGCAGCTCTCGGCTACCCAGGAGCCGAAGGCGGGCGGAGGAGGGAATGAGGGCAGCGGGACTCTAATGGGAACATTGGAGGCCTGAGGCCAACGGAGCGGACTGAGCAGGGCGGGGAGCTTCGGGGCTTGCGGGGGGCGGGGCGCTTCGGGGGTTGCGAAGGGCGGGGCTTCGAGGCTCCGCCTCCTCCCCGCTAGTCCTCATCCGCCGCCGAGCTCCGTGCGCGCCACTCGCTCTCAGAGAGGGAGGAGAAAGCGGAGAGTTCCGGAGTCTGCCTAGCCCGGCCTAACCTTTGCTCCAGAGATCATGGCTGCCGAAGATGTGGTGGCTACAGGCGCCGACCCCAGCGAGGTGGAGGGTGGTGGGCTGCTGCACGAGATTTTCACGTCGCCGCTTAACCTGCTGCTGCTCGGCCTCTGCATCTTCCTGCTCTACAAGATCGTGCGCGGGGACCAGCCTGCGGCCAGCAGCGACAACGACGACGATGAACCGCCCCTGCTGCCCCGCCTTAAGCGGCGCGACTTCACCCCGGCAGAGCTCCGGCGCTTCGACGGCGTCCAGGACCCGCGCATACTGATGGCCATCAACGGCAAGGTGTTCGACGTGACCAAAGGCCGCAAGTTCTACGGCCCTGGTACGGCGGCTAGCGAGGGGAATGCGGAAACAAAAGAAGGGGGCCTCAGCTCGGGGCTGGGCAGGGGAGAAGCCGGCGGGGAGCGGGGCGTCCTAAGTGGAGGGAGGAATGGCGGCGAGCCAGGGAGGGCGGGCAGGCGGAAAGCCAGGAGGCTCCCAGGGCGGGCAGGGGACAAGAGGCGGTCTAGAGGAGCGCGGCGGGTCAGTGGGGGCCAGAGATTCCTGGCCCGCGCCGACAGCGCTCTGGGATGGGGGTGGCGGAACAATGTTGAGGTGCTTAAAGGTGGCGGAGGGTAGGGTGGGGGGGTGAGTCCGCGGGACTAGAAGGGGGGCCCCATCAGAGCACTGGATGTTGGGGGAGTTTTTGAAGGACGTGGATTTGGGGATTCCTGGAAGGAGGGGGTGGTGGCGGGTTTGAGGAAGGGAAATGAGGGTGTCGAGAGAGAGAGAGAGAGAGAGAGATGGAGGAGGAGCGCGGGAACTGAGACGGTCCAGACTTAAGACTCGAAGGCCAGAGGCGCCCAGGGGTAGCCTTCGTGGCATGTGAGTGTGTGGGAGAAAGAAAGCTGGGCTGAAATTAGCAGCAGGTAGGAGCGTGCTGCCTCGTGGATAGTGATGTGTGTGCGCTGTGTGTGCATGCGCGGTGTGTGTATGTGCTTCGGCAGGGGTGTGTGTGCGCGCGCGCTTGCAGTGTGGTGTGTGTCAGGTATGTGTGTACCATGTGTTTGGTATGTGTGCGCGCGTGCTGCGTGCGGCAGACGGGAAAGGCTGGAAGCTGAACAAGGAAAGCTCCGCTGGGGGAAGGGATCTGGTTGAGAAAAGAACAAGGGTTGAATGTGGTGGACACTGGTAACGTGGCGAGCTGCTCGGATATGGCAAGAGAAAAAGACTGGAAGCCAAAAAATAAAAATGGAGGGAGGGAGAAGTGGGAGGATCCCGAGAAACAAAAGGGCTGTGAAGGCTCCTGGGTGAGGGGATTTGAGGCAAAGCCAACCGGAGGGGAAATGAGGAATAGATGGCAGTGGGGCTGCTGGAGGGGGCACAGGTGAGGTTTTTGCAACCCTGGTTGCCGGTTAGAAACACCTGATGCCTTTGAGGAAAAATACAGATTCCCAGGCTAGCTAGCCATCATAACCAGATGAGATCCAGGAATCTGCATTTGAACTTGCTCCCCCAGCAAATTTGAGAAGCAGCCAGGTTTGGAAAGTCCTACTTTATAGAATACTAGGAGAGGAGGAAGAAGAGATTTTAGCTCTTCCAAGATGGACTCCAAACACAGGGAGCCCAGGGGGTGTCCACATGAACGACGGTGTTCTCGTTCACACTGGTGGGAGAAGGGGTTGGGAGTACAGAAGGCAGCAAATCACTCAGACCTGCACCTTTCTTTTCCTCTCGCAATCCAATTAATTAAAATCAGATGTGTTAAAGTTCCTAAGGAACTCTTAGTTTTTTCTTGTGAACATTTTAGAATCCCTACTTTTTGTAAACATGTAACTATCAAAATAATTTATCAAAAGCTCTTATTACTGAGTTAAACCTTAAAGTAGTCAAAGTGTGTGGGGCATTTGGCCTGTGTCCACATCAAACTGGGAGTCAGGCAATCTGCATTCTAGTCCTGGTTGGGTCACTGACCAGCTGTGTGACATTGTGCAGAGCATTGTTCTTTCTGTGCCTTAGTTTTCCCTCTGAAAAGTGATGAAGATAGCCCATTGTGAGTTCTCCAAGTCTCTACCCTGTACTATCATTCAGTGAGCCCATGAATATGTGACAACATCACAGGTGGAAACAATACTTCAAAAATTATTTATTCAAGTGCCTATTCTATGTAAAGAACTGTTGTAGGTGCTGGGAATACAGCAGTGAGCAACACAGACATAATCTCTGTTCGTGGAGCTTACATTCTAGTGGATATACATTGTGATGAATATTATGTATTCTCCAAAGATTAAATTTAGAGTTCTCCGGGAACCTTGTTGAAATATTCCATGAGATTTGCTAGGTAGAGACCCACTCTAACAAGCTAGTGACCATAATTTCTGAAATGATAAGGTCCAAACCAGTTAAGTTTGCTGTTTTCAAGCACTAGATGCTATCATTTCCACTAGAGATGTACATTTGTGGAAAATGTGTGAAGTTTGTTTACTTTCTCTAGTGGAAATGACACCATATGAAGATTAAAAACAACTTTGAATTTTTTTTTTTTTTGAGAAATTCTCACTCTGCCCAGGCTAGAATAACATGGCATCAGCCTACCTCAGAGCAACCTCAAACTCCTGGGTTCAAGCGATCCTCCTGCCTCAGCCTTGGCAACATCAGGAACTATAGGTGCTGTGACAATGCCAGGCTATTTTTTCTATTTTTAGTAGAGCTGGGTCTCAGTATGGCTGGGCCTGGTCTTGAACTCCTGAACTCAAGTGATTCTCCTGCCTTAGCCTTGTAGAGTGCTAGGATTACAGCATGAGCCACTGTATGCAGCCTTTTCTTTGGAATCTTGAGTACATTTAAAAGTTGACCATAGAATTCATCTAATTTATAAAAAATATCTTGGTGGATTGAGGTTGCAGGTGACCAGGGCATATTGAAACTTGATCCATTCTCATTCTTGGTATAGTGGGTGGTTACTTACACACTTTCTAACGTCATGGTTGCTACTCAGTCTACCTTTGGGAAAACAACACAATATTTAAAGTACATTAGATTCTTTTCATTTGCTTGTGCAATATTTAAGTCTAAACATCTGCTCTAAGTCCCTACAGAATGATTTACTGTACTCTTAGACAAAAGAATGATATAATACTATATATAATAGCATTCTAAATTTTATAGTTATTTTGCAATATTGACTCAGCCTTTTTTACATGAAAATTTTAATATTTTCAGTCCTCTCCTTAAATCCACCAAAAACAGGATGATTAAGTTGATCTCCTCTGTGCTATCTCTTTATTTATTGACAGTGAAGGTTACATAACATGTGGATAGATTTTTGAACCACTAATACTCTTATAAAATGATTTCTCCTGCAGATGCCATGAGTTAATGTTTAATAGATTTTTGCAACCAGAGATCTCTGCAAGATAAATTTGACTCATTAAAACATTACAGAGTACATTTATAAGGAAATATTTTCATTTACACATTAGTGCTTTTTAAGAAACCATGACTCACTGGTGTAGCCCAATTATCTATAACATAGGCCCCTGATTCAGGGTCCTGAATTTGAATTCTAACCCTTGGGTTTGGTATTGTCTAGTATGATCCCCTACTACCATTACCTCCCTTCCAGAGGTCACCATTTATGACTTTTTATTAGCTGTTTGGTAATCACAGGAGATTGAAGAATGTGTATAGCATTTTGACTTAGTGGTAGTCATTTAACAGTTTAATGACAGCAGATCTTTCATATCCCTTACCTAACAAAATATCAACATCCCTGTGGTCTCTGAGTGGAATTTGATATTCAGAAAGGGGGGCTTTCTATGTTGATGGGTAAGAAAACCAGTTTCTATATATGAACCACAGAGAAATTTACTATTCTAATAAAGAATTGGTCTTTGATTTTGTTTTGTTTTTAAAGAGGGGCCCTATGGGGTCTTTGCTGGAAGAGACGCATCCAGGGGCCTTGCCACATTTTGCCTGGATAAAGAAGCACTGAAGGACGAGTATGATGACCTTTCTGACCTCAATCCTGCCCAGCAGGAGACTCTGAGTGACTGGGAATCTCAATTCACTTGTAAGCATTTTTAACATTGTGCTAGGATCAAATTTCTACCAGTAATGGGGATTCATGGCAAGACAATAGTTACTAAGCAGCTTTGAAACTTGGGCACATTTTGATAGGCTCCTGAATCTTGGACAGATCAAGTTCATGGCTTGAAGTAATTGCAGAAGTGCTGAGTCACTTGCTATGATTACATACCAATTTTTAGCTAGCTCTCTATGGAAACTTGCATTTCTGGTTTTGATTTGAAGATTTTTGAGAGATTTGCATGGATTCTATACTAGGATTTAGTGCTTGGTGTGTAGGGGAAAGGATAGTGGCCATCTTGGCTACAAAAAGGGATTTTCATAAGCCCTCTCTTGTAGCACTTGCCATTTAAAAGCAGCCCACATATCTGTTGAAGAATGGGAGACTTGTATTCTGCAAAACAGCTTCTTTTTGAATCAAATGGAGCCTAACTATAGGCCTTATCTACAAATGCATATAATCTGCACAGCAACAATGGTGTCTGCATGCTTTTAAAAGAGAAAAGGAAGACACTTGTTTCTGGCTTATGCTATGGGTTAAGGCCTTTGGACGGAAGTAGGAATGAGGGGTTAAGTTCACATTTTGAGAATTTAGGAATTAGCTTCTGCCAAACCTAAATGTTTAATTATTTTTTAGCAATATTTTATTCCCAAGAATTTCAATAATACTCTTTCCCAGCTTTTATGAAACAGTATGTAGCGACAATGACCATTTTTTTTTTT